CGGGGGCGGCACCGGCGGCGCGGTGGTGGGGGCCGCCGGCACGTGCCAGACGGGGCGTCGCTGGCTGGGCGTCGCGCCGCCGAGTCAGACAGCGCCGGTCCGCCGCGCGCGCTGGTCTGCCGCGAGAGAGAGGGAGAGCCCGGGTGGAGAGCGCGGAAGGGGGAGGGGGTGCGCCAGGCGCGCTCGTGCTCACGTACTGCAGTACGCGCCGCGCGCCGCCACGCCAAGGCTTGAAGCGTAAGTTCGCGGAGTTTGGGGAAATGAAGTCGTGGGGGCCCACAACCGGATCGTATCGCGTGACTCTATATGATTCCATTGATTCCCCGTTGAAAAAATCAAACAAACATGTGACAGCTTAAAATTCACAAACGCTTCGACAAAAGTGCAGCAGCATTTGGACTCTGCTCTCGCACGATGAGGTCATTGACGTGTGCCTGAAACAAGTGTGAAACAAGTGAGATGCGCCGGACTCCCTCACGACATTGATTAGTCGTCTGTAGCCTTCGCCGACAAGCCGGTCCCATAAAAACGGCGTGGTGTGCGGTCCGCGTTCCCGCAGACTCCCCGAGGCATTCCCCGATCTCTTCTGCTCTGTTCCAGATCTTCACGGATATGTTGTTCGCAAGGATTATTCTTCAAGCCCTCCTCCCAGCCACCTGTAAGTAAACCTCCTTTTCGCACTTACTATCATAGTAACGTCTAGCATTGCTCATCTATATTAACCTCTGGGTTTCGAGCGAAAACTTGGACACTTTAAAGTTGGACTACATATTCTTCATTTGTAAAATTTTACAAGAAAACAGAAAACGTGAGGAAAGAAAACAAGAATAAAAATTATTTATGAACGCAGAAATGGCAAACCCGCGTTGAGGCATAGCGTTAAGGTCACCATCAGTCTACAGTTGCAATTTAGAAAATGAATAAAACTGGGGAAAGCTCGAGCTCTTCGTGCTTTTGGGTGCCAATCAACTCTTTTGCGACCGCCACACAGCTCCGGGCGGTCTCAGTGGGAAGCCGGGCGACAAAGCTTGGACCGTGCGGCAGGGTGGGGCGGGGTCTTAAGTTTAAAATAATCCCATTAGTCAATATCGCCGAACCAGCTGTGCTTCCTGGCCCTTGTTTGGAGAACGGCGCATTTGGAGAGGCTGGAATGGGGAGAGCAGACCCTGCAGGACAGTATGGCGGAACCAGGCTGAGTGAGAGAAGTTTTATAATGGTTTCGAAATGTTCTTGTATAGGAGCAATTATGAAAAAAAGGTTGGCAAGCGAAACCTCCTAAGCGTTAACAAAGTGTCGTTAGAGCGAGCAGCATGATAGAGCGGTGTAAAGATTTTAAAACGTTATTCACACTGAGAGAACAAAGGCGCTGAGTTTTACCTCTCAAAGGCACCAAAGGTTTTTACATAGGCACTAAAACTGCCAGAACTTCTTAGCACCCGAAGCTCTTTAGTGCCTTGAAGAGGAACTAAACTGAAAATTTCTTTAGCACCCCTCTGGAAAGACACGATATTGCACATTTTGCACCCTTGTCTTTTTTACTGCATACTTATTTTTTTCTCGAGTGTAAGCCAATTAAAATTTGTATTACAAAGCTTTGCCCTATTTTTAAAAGTAGATTTGTAAGTACATTTTCTTGCAAAAACTTTCTTTAGCGCTCGCTCCAAAAGTGCAAAAGCCGTTCAAAATAACTCAAATTCCCCCGTCCCTGCCACCAGCCCTAAAGAAAACGAGGTGGGAGGATATAGGAAAGTGGATGAATAACTCTGGGCACCGCCTGTGCCACAGTCACACGAGTGTTGGCGTGTGCCGCGGGATAAGCAGCGTGTCGCGTGGGCGCCTTGGCGTGGCGGGGGCGTGCGGAACCAATCACACACTGCGGAAAGGAGAGAGAGAGAGAGGGGGGGGAGAGATGAGCGACACAGTAGAAATATTTTACAATCTTGTTGAAGATAAAATCCAAATCACTGGATAAACAAAGGTGCTAAGTCGTACTTTTAAAAAGGCACTTGAGACACTAATTTTTGGCGCCGTTATAGGGCTATTTAGTGGCTTTACGTAGGAACTAAACTAATTTTTTTAAGCACCCCGAGAAGGCCATGACTTAAGTTAGCACCTTTGTTTTTTCAGTGAAATTGCAGGAGAAAAGACCCGAACAACAGTTTCAAACTGTGCTCTGGAGGGTTTACAACAATTTTTGCAATATTTTGGGTAGGTTATATATTTTGAGGAGAATAATCCAGCCAGAGGCATGATCATAGACTGTATTTCTCTGTACTTCGAATGCAGCCAAAATTTTCGGGTATATTTATAGGAATGGAAATTTGACCTCTTTGTGTGTTAACCGCTCGGTTAACCGTCTACCAAATGGACCTGACGAAATGTCACCTCCGACAGGTTGGGGTGGGGACCGGAACATGAGACCTCTTATTTGTTGAGACGTTGCAATGATGATGCGAGTGAGCGTCGCGTCGTGTGTGCGATGCCGTCATGCAGTATCATTGGGCTGAGGGAAGGTCCGCAGATGCACATGACGGGTAGGTGGAGTGAGGCCGAGCGTGTATCGACAGCCGAACAGATGGACGCCCTGGCCC